CCGCGTCAGGAGGCGGGGCCTCTTCGCGCTGCCGTCGGGCGGGGGCGCCTGGCCCAGGCGGGGGTGGCCTACTTCGAGCAGGGGCACAGAGGCAACGACGCGCGGGCCCTAGAAATCCCGGCCCCAGCGGCGGAGGGAGGCGGCGGCTGGCGCGCGCGACTGGCGCGAGGCGGCGCAGCTGTGCCAAGAAGAGCAGATCAACGGCTGCGCCGTTGCCGCCCTTCGCGCCGCGACGCGTGGAAGTCCCGGGGGGGGCTCGCCGTCGCCGACTATCCGGCGCGCGCGGAGATCGGGCGCGGGAAGCACCAGCTGATTGCGCCTTACTGGGGCGATCGGCCCACGGAGCAGCAGCAGCGCTTCGGCGCGATGCCGCTCGAGGAGAGCCAGGCTGTCATGGGCGGGGCGCGCTCGCCGTCGATGGCGCGCCCGCGGCTGCTGGGCAAGGTCTCGAAGGCGCTGGGGCGCATCTCAGGCGTCGAGAAGAACGCGCGGAAGCTCGGGGGCGAGCAGGGCGCCGCCGCCAAGGCGAAGGCTGCCCCCCCCAAGTCGGGGCGGCGACGCGATGGGCCCGCCGCCAGGAGAGCGTCGGCGCGGCGGCGGGGCGCGCCAGGGGTTGGCAGATGACGACGAACAGTTCCCGAAGAACACGTGCCGCGGTCGCTCGCGCGTCTACCGGCGCCCGACAGGCGCCTCGCCCCCCGCGAGCCTGCGCGGGCGAGGTCAGCGCGCCGCCGCCGCGGGCGCCGAGCGCCGCAGCCTGCGCGAACGAAATTGGCACGGAAAGAACGGGCACAATGCCCAACAGCGGATCTTGTTCATTTTGAACAGGACTCGCTGTCCACGCCGCCGCGGCATGCGTCCATTCGAGACAGAAGGCCGCCTGCCCAACAGCGGCCGCTGTTGGTTTGGGGCAACTTTTTTGTTGGGCATTGCACCCATTCTTTCCGTGCCCATTTCGGGCGTCAATATGCAGGGCGAGTTCCGCGCCGAGCTCGCCGCGGCGCTCAGCCAGCTAAGCGCCGGCCCAGACGTGGCGCGCAGGCAGTGCGAGGGCGAGCCCAACAGGACGCAGCAGCTGAAGCTGCGTGGCGACGGGCATTCCGCCTTCTGACGCGTCGACCGAGCTGGCCCTCGGAGGCCCCCAGGTCGGCGCCGCCCGCGGGGGCAGCAACGTCGCGGCGGCCCCCTTCGCGCGCGACTTCGTTTCTTCGCGGGCTGTCGGCGGCCCCCCAGCGCCTGCGGATCAGCCGCTCGGAAAGGATGGGCCAGATATCGCGCGGAGGCTTATTCCGACCGCGGCGTTGCTCTATCGAGGCGCCGAGTGGGCTGGGCGGGGGGCCAGCGTCGCGCGCCCCCGCCTGCGCCCTGCGCCGAGGCGGTCGAAGGACAACCTGTTTTTCACCCGCCGGATGAAACGCGCTGGCACGTGGGGCTTCCGGGCCGACGGGGGCGGCTTCGAGGGGGTCGGGCTTTTCATTGTTTGGAAGATGAGCGGTCGCCAACGCTTGGCGATCGACTGCAGGGGATTTAATTTGCACTTCGCGGAGCCTGACGAGACGGGCCTCGCCGGCGGGGCCGGCGCCGGCGCCGCGGAGCCACGGGGCCGCGAGCTGCTCCGGACGGGGGGCGTCGACATCGCCGATGCTTTTACAACGTGGGCTTGCCTCGTGAGTTTCGTCACTTCGCCGCGCTTCGTCGCCCGCGCGCTGGCAACCCGGGCTTCGAGAGCGCGGAAGGCCGCCCCGTCGCGAGCGGGTGTCGGGCCAGCCCATGCTTCGTTGTTTTGCTGATGGGGTAGGCTCATTCTTTGGATTTCTGCTAGAGGGCGCGCAAAACGATACGGCTGGAAAAGGGCGGCGCCGTTTGGGGCAGTGGAGATCGTCGACGGGCGGCCGCCCGTGGACGTGAGCGAGGGGGCCTGCGCCGCCCGCGCGGGCAATTTCGTCGCCTTCGGGGCGGGGCCCGGGCGGCCTGCGGCGATGCTGAACTCGGATTAATGCGCTCTGGAAGTCGCGGGGCTGCTGGCGCACCCCGTCGAGGTCCCGGCGACCGTCTCAGAGCAGCTGTGTTGGGCCTTCGACAGGGAGGAGGAGGCCTTGCGGCCAGCGCGCTGGCGGGCCTGGAGGCTGCGCTCGAGGGCCCCGGGGCCTCTGGCCAGGGGTTCGCCGCGGGTCGCCAGGTGTGTGTGTGTGTGTGTGTGTGTGTGTGTGTGTGTGTGTGTGTGTGTGTGTGGGGGGGGGGGGGGGGGGGGTCGCGGGGCACTTCGCTTCCATCGCTCTGCCCAGGAGGCCTCTGCTGTCAATGTTCAGCGATATCCGTGCGCCTTCTCTCGCAAGTAGCTTGCGCAGGTCATGATGCTCCCGCCCTCTGGTCGACGCGGGCTACAGTGGGCCTCTGCTCTCATTCTCCTCGCCTGGGCCGACCTCCGCATCCTGGGGCCCCGACGTGCGCGCGACCGACGCGAGCGAGGAAGGCGGGGGGGTGTGCCGGAGAGACGCGGACGCAGCGACCATACGGGCGACGCGGAGGTTCGAGGAGAGGCGGGGGTTTCGACGCCCTCACGCATCGCGACCTCGAGATTGCCTCGATGACCCCAGGGACCTCGTGGAGGAGCAGGAGATCGCGGAGGGCGCGAGGTGGAAGGTGTTGGATAGTTATATCGAGCAAGCTGCGCGGGGGCAGGTGGCAGGTGGTCTCGAGCGGAAGTTGGGCCAGTCCTGAGAATATCGTCGTCCTGGATCCTGGAGGGTCGGGCCATCGCCCTGTCCGACAACATGGGGCGCGCGTGCGCCTTGCAGAAGGGCCGCTCCTCGGCGGGGCCGGCGATCCGCCGACCGCGGCGCGTGGGCGAGGCGGCGGCGGCGGCGCAGCCTAGCGGCAAGGCTGCCAGGGCTGCGCGTCGGCAGGCGCGGGCGGCGCCGCTGGCCACGGCGGTCAATTTTGTTTTGGCCCCAGTGCGCGCGGACGGGTGCCACGCAGGCTTTGAAGGGCTGGAAGCGGCTCGCCCCCGCGCGGGCCAGGCCGCCGCTGCCCCGGGAGGTCGTCGCCGCGCTGGCCATGGAGTTGCTCGGCGCGGGCTTCTGGGCGATTGCCGCCTGGGTCGTCGTCGGGCACTGCTGCTACCTCAGGCCGAACGAGCTGGGCAGGGCGACGGGGGACATGATCATCCCACCAACGCCCCGGCACGACGCTGACGCGCGGGGCCATAGTCTTGCACTCGAGGTGGGCAGCAAGACGAGGGAGTTCGACGAGACGGTGGTGGTCGACCTGCCCGACTTCAAGTCCCCAGCAACGTCTTCGTTTTCTTCGAGATGCTCGCGCGCCCCACGGCTTGCCCATCTTCGCTTTTGCGCACGGGGGCCTCGTCCAGAAATTCAAGCTGGCGGCCGCGCGCGCGGGGGTGGAGCGCCCGGGGCCAGAGCTGCGCGCGCTGCAGGCGCGGCGGGCCAAGCCACGACCGCGCCCGCCAGCTCCGCTCGCTCCAGGAGATCAAGCAGCGCGGCCGGCGGCGCTGCGCTTCGAGCGCGCGGCGGCGCCAGGAGGAGGGCCGCGTGGGCGAGCAGCTGCAGAGGCTGCCGGCCGCGGAATAGGTGCGCGCGCTCAGCGCGGCCCCGGCCGCGCCGGCGGCCCTCGCGCGGCCCCTGCCCGCGCCCCGGCCTTCGGGGGCGCCCGCCTCGCCCAGCCGCAAACTTTCTAATCGGCGGGCGCGGAGGCTTGACCGAGGCGCCGCGGGCCAAAGGCTCCATCGCGCTGGAGCGGGGCCGCTCGCGCGGGCCACTGCGGGATCTGACGCGCCGAGCGAATCAGAAAGTAGTGCGAGGCTGGATAGTGGCGGGGCTGGCGCGGGGCGCGTTCATGGGCACGCCGCGCCAGGTCTGGACCAGCGCACGGGCCGCCAGACTTCCCGGGACCCTGGCAACCCTCAGTCTTGCCTGCCGCCCAGACTTCGCAGCGACCAGCAGCTGACTGGCCTCCTAGAGCTGCTGCTTGCAGCGGATCTGGAAATGGTGAGGGTCGGCAATCTTCGCAGCGTTGTCGGCTTCACGCGCGCTGTTAAATTGCCTGTTGCCATCGAGAATCCAGCCCGCTCTCGCTTGCGGAGCCTCCCCCGCCATCTGCAGGCTCGCACTTGGGCTTCCGGCTCGCACGGTGTCGCAGATCTGTGCCAGCGGGGATCGCCCTGGAATGAGCTCGCGGGCATCCTCAGTGATCGGTGGGACCTCTGCGCCCAGAAGCCCCATGCTTCAATCCTTGGTCTCGCAGTTTCCAGAGGCTTCAGAACAATTTCCGCGGAGCGATTTCCCATCTGCCTTGCCTGCCTTCGTGCGCGCGCTGAGCCGCCGTGCCGAGGCTGTCTGCGCAATCGTCCTCCCATGCAGTAGCAGGGGGATTTCGAGAGGACCAACTGGAAAGTTTGGCGAGGTCGCATGTGTCGAGCCCTCGTCTCAGGCCCGCGTCTGCGCGCCGTGTCCGCCTCGCGCGGACGCGGCCTGACCCCGCCCAGAGCGGGCGCTGCCTTGCCTCTGCTCGCTGCGCCCACCGCTGGCGCGCAGAAGAAGAGAAGAGCAACCTGGCCTCGGCAGCGGAGGGCTGAAAGCATGCTTTCTACTTTGTTGCTGATTGCCGCCAACCGCGAAGGAGAGAAAAAGAGAGAGAGAGAGAGAGAGAGAGGCCGCCTTTCCACTGCTGTCAAGCCTTTCAGGCTCGCGCTCCCAACCCCTCCCACCCTCGCGCGCGTGTGTCAAGTTCTCGTCTCATGCTGGTGTCGACGCGCCGTGCCCGCCTCGCGCGGATGCTGCCTCGCCTAAGCGCAGAAAAAGAGAAGCGTAGCCTTGCCTCGGGAGCGGGGGGCTGAAGGCATCCCCCTCCTTATCCTCCTCCTGCTGCTTGTTGCTCCTCCTGCTGCTCACTCGATTTCCCCCTTCCTCCTCGTTGCTGCTGCTTCTTCCGTCACGGGGCCTCCTTCCGGGTGCGGTGGGCGCCGCCCTCGGAGCCTCCAGGAGGCGGAGGTGGAGGACCTCTACCACGCACGGAGCGAGGAGGTCATGCGCTTATCCCACGAAGCGTCCTCGCTAAGGAGGCCTGGGCGCCCGCCTTCTTGCCGCGGGCAGGGAAGGCAAGGGGGGCAGGGAGGGAAGGGCACGCATGACCACGACGGGATAGTATCAACTTGCGACTAACAAATGTAACCCCCCACGGGGCGCGACACATTTGGGGGTAATCGCGCGCGCCAGGGTTCGGAAAGCTCGGGGAAACACCGCGCCGCGAATGACGGCAAACGGCGCGAACGAGGAGGAGGAGGAAAGTGAGGAGGGGGGGAGGAGGAGGGGGAGGAGGAGGAGGGAGAAAAAGGAAGAAGAGAAGGAGGAGGAAAAACCCGCCTTGCTCGTGGGCCTGCGAGGCAGGTGTCGCCCCCATGGCTGCGGCAAAGGCAAAGGAAACGCATCGGTTTGAAAGAAAAGAGGGGCGCCTTGGCCCACGGTCCTTGCTTCTGCCGCTGTTGCCTCCCGCCCCCCCCCCCCCCCAGTCAGCGTTGTGTATGTTGTTTTTTCAGTGGCGGCTGGGCGTCGGCGTGAATCACCGGCGCCGCCGTTGTTTTTTAATTTGGCGGGCGCCGCCCCGCGACCCGCCCGAGCAGGCAAACCGTTTTTGCATGTGAGCGTTTCCCACGGGTTTGTTAATCACAAACTGGCATTGTTTTTCTTGCTTTCCCCCCTCATCCTCATCTACGATCCCCATTTATCGTCGTCGATCCACTGCTGTGTTTTTCGGGATTCCTGGTCGCCTGGGCTGCGGACTCCAGAGCTCCTGGACATGTTAGTTTTGTGCGTGTGTGTGAATATGTTGAACCTCTGGGGGTGGGAAATTTTGATGCTGCATCATAACATATGTTCGGAATTATTGATATCCCGAGGGGTCCAGAGCTTTCGGGATTCTTGGTGGCCTGGGCTGCGGATTACACCGTCCCTATGCCAGGCCCCCTGGAAATTTCCAACTTTGGGTAATCTAACAATTCGGGGGGGCGTTTTTGTTGGTTTATAAGGATTTGACGGAGCTGGAGTTTTCGGGGGTCGTGGTCGTTTTGGGCTGCGCCGCGGGTTGCAGGGCCCCTGGACACGAGTTGCCGAACATTGCGAAAGTAAACAAAACATTCGGGGGCTGGAATTCTTTAATTCAACAAGATTTACAACAGTTCTGGAATTCTGACGGGTAGGAATCCAGATTTTTCTGAATTTCTGGTCGCCTGGGTTGGTGTCAAAAGGAAGGGGGGGAGGGAGGATGCTTAGGATGAGGAGGAGGCGTAGAAAGACAGTAGAGCCACTCCTGGATCAAGCATCGTCGCTCCAGGAATGGACCCAGAGGATGGCGATGAGGAAGAGGCACTATGGCAACGCACCAACGATGTGAATAACAATGGGGCCCACTGTTGCACTGCGCGCGGTGCGTGTGTGTTCAATGTTTTGCGTGGCGCTGCATGGCCAGACATCGTAGGATATGTTCGGAGTATTGCATTGCATTGCGCGGCATGGCATTACATAGCAACGCCCTGTGCCCTGTTACGAATGGCAGTGCAAGAATGGTCCCGCGGTGACGCATTCAGCCCTCCAGCAGGTGTCTAGTGTTACACGCTGGACGAAAATAGTGCCCACCACTTGGTCGGCTGGTTGGATTGGTTGCTTGGACTGGTTGTTTGGGTTGGCTGGAGTGGTTGATCGGACTTGGTGGACTGTTTGATCAGGCTGGTTAGTTGGCAACCCAGCTTGTTTTTCAGAGCACCCCCCTTTGTCATAATGTACCCTCCTCATCGCCCACCCCTGGCTCCATTCCTTGAGCAACGGGTTTTGCTCCAGGAGTGGCCCTATACTCCTCCTCTTCCTCGTCCTTCTCCTAAGTCTCCTCAGTATCCTCCATCCTCCTCCTCCATCCTCCTCCCCCTCCTCACGTGCGTTATTCTGTCAAGCCGACGTGAAAAAAAACAGTCCGGGCGACCGTGGAGACGACGATGCCTGGCCAACCCTTCTACCATCTGCATGGAGATGGGGCGGTGTATTGTTCAGTTTGCACAGAGCCATCCAGCGCGACCTACGATACGGTATGCAGTGGCATTTAATGCTACGCTACGTGTGATCATGCTACGCACGACATTTAAGGATATAATATCACGACGATGAGATTGTATGTCATTCGATATAATCATTTGGGGATCGAGAGCCACTGCTATGTTATGCCATGCTATACCATGCTTTGCACCACTGCGGTGCACAGGGCGCCCCGCAACATGTTATATACGTATCTCAGCGTGGCAACTCAAACGTGACATGTGTGACGATGAGGATGGATGGAATGACGTGGGGGCGTATGCAGCCTCAGATCAACACGAAGGCTCAAGCACATATGGTCCAATGGCGATCCACACGCATCGCACGGTCCTTTTCATATATCAAATGACGAAGGTGAAACTGACATCCAAGCACAACAGCTCTGCGGACAACACGACAACATTTCCATCCGTAAACTTATTTAATCGCTTCGCTCATTCCGCCGGCCCATATTGTCGCACCGTTGTGGGCTAGCCGAGTTTGGGGGCCTCTTGGGGGCCGTTTTGAAGCCTCTTGGGGCCTCTTTTGGGCCTCTTGGGCGCCTCTTGGGGCGTCTTGGGGGCCTCTTGGGGGCGTCTTGGGGCCTTTTTGGGGCCTCCTGGGCGCCTTCTGGGGCGGAGGGCTCGATTTTTCAGTTCTCGGTTCCCCTCTTGAGCCCCTCTTGGGCCCGTCTTGGGGCCTCTTGGTCCGTCTTGGGCGGCACTTGGGCCGTCTTGGGGGCCCTCCTGGGCCGTTCCGGGGCCGTCTTGGGAGCCTCGTGGGCCGTCTTGGAGCGGTCTTGGGGCCTCTTGGGCCGTCTTGGAGCGTCCGGAAGCCGAAAAAGCCAGAACGCAAAAAACATAGAAAAAACAATGAAAATCAACGATTTTGGCCTCTTGGGGCCCTCTTCGGAGGCCTCTTGGAAGGCCCTTGGGGCGTCTTGGAGGCCTCTTGGGCTGTCTTGGGGCCCTGTTGGGCGTCTTCGGGCGATCTTTGGCCGTCTCGGGGCCCTCTTGGACCGTCTTGGAGGCTTCTTGGGGACCTCTTGGCCCGTCCTGGGGCCCTGTGACAGGGCTCCGGCATCTCTGGCCCGACCTTGCCGGGACCTTGCCGGGGTGCGGACAACACGACAATGTTTCCATCCGTAAACTTATTGACAAAACTTTCCATAGGGCAGATCCATCGCCGACCGCTCTGGCACAACAAAGATGTAGAACACATATGCTGGCCAAAACCGCGCTGGCACATCAAGGGTGTTGAGTGCACAGCGATATATCTGAACACTATGGCACAACACGGATTCAGAATTCATGTGGCCAGAACGCCACGGGCAAGGAATATCACGAATCATGAGGCTCTGTGGGATCGTCAGGGTTCCTCTCGCGACGGAAAAGTTCATGTACACTTGATCGAATGAATGTTACGGCAGATAAATCAAGCGCACGATGAGCAGAAAGCCTCGAACAAAGGACGAAACATCAAAATACAACAAGGATGCTCACGTAAAGGAGGAGGGTTGATCATTTGGCATCGCAGCAAGCTGGTTTCGAGCATGACATCGAGAGTCGTAGGGTATAGCAAAGCACTCTGGCAACCAATGATCAGACTTGTTCTCGCCGACAAGGTGCCGCATGTTCAGCCATGCCACCGTCAAGCCCAATGGTTTTCAACAGCGCATGGCATCATCGCTGCTACCTGCGGCTGCACCCTTCCCTCTCCGAGTGAGAATGCATTTAGCGTGACACCTGCAGGTCGCAACGAACGTGCAATTGCTCCCGTAGAAATCAATCCGAACGCCTTCGTCGAGAATGACAGACGCCGTGACCGTCGACCTCCTGCCACCAAGTGCTCAGACTGGAACAGCGGGCACGGGCGGTGGAGCAGGTACTGGCAGTGGCGGTGCTGGTGCCAGAGCGTCGGGGGCCAGTGGGGCTGGCGGCTCGCCGGAAGGTCCTGGACCTGGAGCAGCGGCAACAGGGCCGCCAACGGGGCCACCAGGTCCTGGACTTGTAGCAGCGGCAGCGCCGTCATGGCCGTCGTAGGCCAGCAGGAGTAGCTCCGCGCCGAGCACAGCATCGGCCACGTCGCCCCCGCCCACGGCGGCGCCGCTTTCAAAGGCAGCGGAATTGGAACGTTGGAGCATCTTGGAACCTCCTGAGTCTCCTGGGCCCGCTGCTCCCACCCCTGGTTCCGCAGCGCCGGGCGCTGTAAAACATTGATTATGCGCATTTTTCAGATAAATCGACGTCTGTGCAAAACTCCACGGCACTAGATTTGTTGAGGGGTGTTGGGCTCCTGGACGCCTGGGCTGCAGGCTCACCCTACCTTCTCCAAACTCCTTCCTCCCCCTGGTCTCATTTGCCCACCCGCATCTGCTCTCTTCCTCCTCCTCGCTCCCTCCTCCTCCTCCTCCTCCTCAGGAGGAGGAGGAGGGGAGGAGGATGAGGATGCGGGAGGAGTGCGAGTGAGGTTGAGCAGGATGAGGAAGCCAGGGTAAAGCGGAGGACGACGATGTTAATAGAACAACAATTTATCAGCGAATGCATGTAATGGAGGAGGCGCAGGATGAGACAAATAATATTACAATACTAATACTAGTAGTACTGATGGTGATAATACTATTAATGCAGGAAAAAATAGTGTTTGCGATACTAATACGAATACGTATCAGACTAACATGAAAGCTACGGGTAGCAATACTAGTAATCATGATAGTAAGAATGATGATGCTGAGGATGATGGTGGTGATGATGGTGATGCTGATGATGATGCTGGTGGTGGTGTTGGTGACAGCGACGATGACGCTGATGATGCTGATGACGCTGATGATGATGGTGGTTGTGTTGTTGATGATGATCAAGCCGAGGGGAGGCATACGGCGACGATGGCGACGACAGCTGCGACGAGCACGATGGCAGCGGCTGCGACCATCTTCTGCAATGTCATTATTCCGAATGGTTATGGTGAGGAGGAAGAGGAGGAGGAGGAGGTGGAGGTTGAG